CCCCTATAATTTTTTTTTTTTTTTGAGGGGGGCAATTGCCCCCCTAAGCAACATATGGTTTCGCCTCTGAAATCAGGGTTGGGAGTCTGGACAACAAATAAAGCATAAATTTGAGCTTTTATTTTATGCATTTTTTTAATAGAAAAAAATTAAAAAGATATTTTTTTTAATTTTAAAAAAATAATTTTTTTCTAACATTAGAAAATTAAAAAATATAATTCACCCCCAAAGGCAGCTAGACCAACCTCATTTTGAATTTAATAAATTATATATATTATATTTACAAACATAATATTTAATTATGCCATATTAAAGTAACATTAGATGTCGATATGAGTAAGGACCAGCAAAGAATGACATGGTACGGATTACAAGAGCAGGACAAAGAGTGCGGTGTTGAGAATATATTCTTGCATAGTTGCAAGTTCACTCAACAAATGGCTATTTGCTTCCTTGACAAAGGTAAATAAATAAATAAAATACAGTTTATCAAAAATATTTTAAATTATTTTTTTAAGAGTAAATTATTTTGTTTGGTATAATATAAATGCATGAAATTAATTTTTTGTGTTTAATTTGAAGTAAAATTAATTTAATTTAATGTTAATTACATTTGATATGTCACCAAATTTTTTTTTTGATCGAGCACGAATCTTGAGGCATATTTATATTGGAATTTTCTAAAATCAAATTCGGGATCATATGAAATCCGATTTCAACAAACTTATAGTCAAATTTAACCTGTCAAATGAGTCCAAATCGAAGACTCATAACTTGGAAGATTCAAAACATTAATTGGATGACAAAATGATATTCAAATATGACATGCTTATAGTCAAATCGAGTGGCTCGATGACGCAAATCCAATGAGCCCAAGATCGTCGAATGCTGACTTTGTTAAGGCTTTTAAATAGTTGAAAAATGCTCTATGATCTGGGGAATTAATACGAGACATTCGATGGGGCACTTCGAACATGCCCTGGATCTTCTCTATATTTACGAGGTGTGTCACTCATGAAAATCTATAAAACATACCCTCACTCTCTACATGAATGAGACCTTTTGCTATAAATTAGAGAGAGCTTTGAGGCTTCAAGAAACGAGCCATTCGATGGAGCACTTCGAACATGCCCTGGATCTTCTCTATATTTACGAGGTGTGTCACTCATGAAAATCTATAAAACATACCCTCACTCTCTACATGAATGAGACCTTTTGCTATAAATTAGAGAGAGCTTTGAGGCTTCAAGAATTCTAGCACCATCGCCGGCGAACACCCATCGAGTGTCGTCGAACAACTGCTCGATCGTCAATCACCGCCGAACTTCTGCCCGGCCGTCTCCAGCCTTCTGCCCAACCATCGTTGGACAACCACCCGGATTTCAGCCGATTGTTGTCGGACTTCCACCCGGACGTCGACCACCGTCGTACTTCAGCTAAACCGTCGCCGGAACACTGCCCTGCCGCCGATCGCTGCTGGACTTATAATGCTATTTGAGTCATATTTAATCCTTATTTGAATAAAAGTTCTAAATACTTTTTTAATCATATTCCCACCATTTTGTTTTAATGGATGGAAGTAAACCAAGTGATGAAACAAACAAGAAATTAATAGTAACGAAAAGTAAAAGGACACCATAATTTAACATGGAAAATTTTAAAATTAGAAAAAACCACGGAGCCACATCACACCAAGAAAACCACTATGAAATTTGGGAGAAATAAGTACAGATTTCTCTTCTCTATTGCTCTCTTCTTGCTTCTCTTCTCTCTTGCAACTTTTTCACAGTCAAAACACAAGAGAAAGACAAGTTAATAACATCAAGGGACGCCACCCTTTAGAAAAATGAGAAAGAAAATATATCCAGTCCACTTGACGCGCTGTTGCGCTCAAGCCTCTGTTATCATGATGTTGCAGCGCTCAAATCTTTAGCACTGCAACACTCCATAACACTGTGACAACGAATCTAGAGTGCTGCGACACTTTGCTCTATGTCGTTTTTTCCAGCAAACTTTGTAGCATCAAGGCGCTTGAGAACACAACACCGGGGCATTCTGCTCCTCATCCTAAGTAGGGGGAGGACCCTTGCACCCTCCAACGAGCAGGACAAATTGGTTTGAGATCCGAGGCAACAATATAACATGATTGATCAACATAGTCATATTCCTCACAGAACAAACACTTATTTGAACTTTATTTGAATAAGGTAGAATCTTACTTGAATTTCGTTTGAATATTATTTCAAATCATGTTCTAACCATGTCAATATCATGTGCAAAACTTGTTCAAATATATTTTAAGTTAAAATCTTCTCCAAATTTATTCAAAATTTAGTTCTACCATTATTCAAGCAAATTTCATTCGTAATGTAATCCAATAAGCAATCCACAAATACAAGAAATGTAATTTCATATGAAAGTAACTTAAAAACCATGTTTCTCGAGAAATAAATAATAGGGATGATTCTCAATTTTTATGTATTACAAGTTATAAAAAGTGAAATCTCCACAAAGTTTTATACTTTTTATTTAAGTGGGCTTGAAAAAAGTTTAAAAATCATCGGGCAATACTTGAATCGAATGTAGGTTGGATGGACCCAAATTTTTATCAATGCCTAAGAAGGTGCCAACTTTGCACCAATACTTTTTCAATTTTTTGGACCGAGAGTCCATTTTAACATGTTGGTTGGGAGCTACTTTCAATCAAGCAGTCTTCGATTCGATCTTGTATTCAAGGTCTTATTCAAAATTTTGTTAAATTTACTACAAGTAAAAATGAGGGATTTTTATGAATAGAAATTAAAACTTTCACATTTACATATTTAACATGTAAAGTTCATTATTTACATAATAAAAAAAAAATCATGTTAATGTGTCATGATAGATCATCATCAGATCTTTCTGTATTTTTACTTTTTTGATCTCTTATTTCAGTTTTTTGTAAACCCCCATTTTGGCTCGAATGAATGTTATTTTGGTTAAAAAAAAAGATCATCATCAGATCTCTATGTAGAAGACATTAACAGAAGCAACACTGACATGATCTCAATAATATGTGAATAATAAGAGGAGTTCAAGAGACTTATGAATTTAAGATAGAAACTAGTCAAATGAGATTAAGGTTTCGTTTGATACGACTTTCTTATTGCTTCTTTAGGCAATTTTCTTGTAAAAAAATATTTTTTGTACTAAAAACTGCTTTAACAAACAATAAGAAAGTCGTCACAAACGAAGCCTAAAACTGTCAATTTTGCCATTTCTTCTGCCCAACCATCGTTGGACAACCGCCCGGATTTCAGCCGATTGTTGTCGGACTTCCACCCGGACGTCGACCACCGCCGTACTTCAGCTAAACCGTCGCCTGAACACTGCCCTGCCGCCGATCGGTGCTGGACTTATAATACTATTTGAGTCATATTTAATCCTTATTTGAATAAAAGTTCTAAATATTTTTTTAATCATATTCCCACCATTTTGTTGTAATGGATGGAAGTAAACCAAGTGATGAAACAAACAAGAAATTAATAGTAACGAAAAGTAAAAGGACACAATAATTTAACATGGAAAATTTTAAAATTAGAAAAAAACCACGGAGCCACACCACACCAAGAAATTCACTATGAAATTTGGGAGAAATAAGTACAGATTTCTCTTCTCTATTGCTCTCTTCTTGCTTCTCTTCTCTCTTGCAACTTTCTCACAGTCAAAACACAAGAGAAAGGCAAGTTAATAACACTAAGGGACGTCACCTTTTAGAAAAATGAAAAAGAAAATATATCCAGTCCACTTGAAGTGTTGTTGTGCTCAAGCCTCTGTTATCATGATGTTGTAGCGCTCAAATCTTTAGCACTGTGACACTCCATAACACTGTGACATCGAATCTAGAGCACTGCGACACTTTCCTCTATGTCGTTTCTTCCAGCAAACTTTGTAGCATCAAGTCGCTTGAGAACACAGCACCGTAGCATTCTGCTCCTCATCCTAAGCAGGGGGAGGACCCTTGCACCCTCCAACAAGCTGGACAAATTAGTTTGAGGTCCGAGGCAACAATATAACATGATTGATCAACATAATCATATTCCTCACATAACAAACACTTATTTGAACTTTATTTGAATAAGGTAGAATCTTACTAGAATTTCGTTTGAATATTATTTCAAATCATGGTCTAACCATGTCAATATCGTGTGCAAAACTTGTTCAAATATATTTGAATTTAAAATCTTCTCCGAATTTAGTCAAAATTTATTTCTCCCATTATTCAAGCAAATTTCATCGTAATGTAATTTTAATATGTAATCCACAAATACAAGACATGCAATTTCATATGAAAGTAACATAATATGGATGTTTCTCGAGAAATAAATAATAGGGATGTTTCTCAATTTGTAACTATTATAAGTTATAAAAAGTGAAATCTCCATAAAGTTTTATACCTTTATTTTAAGTGGGTTTGAAAAAGTTTCAAAATCATCGGGCAATACTTGAATCAAATGTAGGTTGGATGGACCCAAAATTTATCAACGGCTAAGAAGGTGCCTAGTTTGCACCAATACTTTCTCAATTTTTTTGACACATAGGATCCATTTTAACATGTTGGTTAAGAGCTACTTTCAATCAAGTAGTCTTCGATCCGCTCTTGGATTCGAGACCTTATTCAAAATTTTGTTAAATTCACTAAAAGTAAAAAATGGGGATTTATATGCATAGCATTTAAAACATTCACATTTATATATTTAGCACCTAATGTTCATTATATACATAATAAAAAAAGTTATGTTGATGTGTCATGATAGATCATCATCAAATCTCTATGTAAAAGACATTAGCAGGAGCAACAACGACATGATCTCCATAATGTGTGAAGAATAAGAGGAGTTCACGGAATTTATGAATTTAAGATATAAATGATACAAAATGAGATTAAAATTATCAATTTTGGCATTTGCAAGATTTAAATCCTAGTTATGTGCTATTGAAAGACATAGTAGATTGGAATCTTTTGATAGTGATTATTTTTGTTTATGTTGAAAGTTTTAAATGCTTTGCAAATTAATAGGAAAATTTAATTGTTTAATATGTAAATGAGAATATTTTAACTTTTAAGTATATGGATGCACGTAATAATAATAATAATAAAGCCTACACTTTTAAAAGGAAAATGGCAAGCCGGCCAGAAAGAGAGCGAAGAGAATGGAGGGGTTAGCTTCTATCGCGCTTCTCCCCGGCGGCTCCATCTCCGGCCACTTCATCCAGCTTCCCCACTCTATTTGCTACGGTATTCATGGCTCCGGTAAAACCCTAAGCTTTAACACTCCCATGTTTTATTCCATTCATTCTTCTCAGTTTTTGCATCTCCTCCAAGTAATCCTTCATATACGAATACCGATTACGTTAATTTATTTAAGGTATTGAGTTTTTTCAGTGTGTTTAGCGATCATCGCAAGTGAATGATAATGCGAAAACACTGCCATGTTATTTTCTGTGTTTTCATAAACTACAGACGAAAAAAAAAAAAAAAAAACCTATTGTCTGCAGCATTTCCTCCGTAAACTAGCACGCGCACATACAGTTCTTAGAAATTTAACCAAAATGGCTATTTTTTATTAACTTTTTAATGGTATGTTATGTAATATTTATTGAATCATATGTTGTTGAGTGTATTATGGAAACTGGTAAGGGTGAATCTTGTTGTTTATTTATTTTGTCAAAGCCTGGTATCCACATTTAACCTGTAACGTTGCTCCGATCTCTCTGCTCAAAGTGTTTGAGGATTGGTATCCATACACCTTCAGAATGTTCTTTTTTTTTTGTGACTGTTTGGTTTAATCATATTTTTTGCAGGATTGGTCCAGATCAAGAAAATGTAAGTGTAGCGCCTGCATTACACAAAACTTTATGGTGCATGAGTTTGAGGCTTTGTTTGGGACAGCTTTCTTACTGCTTTTTAAAATGTCTTTCTAGTACAAAAATTTTTATTTTTAATTTTTTTTACTAGAAAGCTGTTTTAAAGAGCAAGAAGAAAGTTGTCGCAAACGAAGCCTGAGACTCCTTAACGCTCTATTTTGTAGAATGCGAGGTGTGTGGTACATTTATATGATGTAATGCTGAAATCTTGTGTCTACGATCAGCAAGAATTTATTTTTGTTGTCCTTTCCAAGTAGCCCAAATACATAGAAAATCCACAGATGTGAAAAGCAGTGCAAAGAGTGCCTCAGCTGTAGTCACTACTTTGCTTCTTTCAAATCGATTGTATTTTTATGTACCTTAGTTGGATTGGCCTCTTTGTCAAAGGGAACCTAAATTTGGTGCCATACTATTTTGTTTAGCAATATTGGGAAAATTGTAGGATACCTATTTGGTTGGTTGTTTCCAGTAACCATGGTTCACATGTTGAGATATCGTGCTTTCTTAGATGTCTATATTTTATACTTGCATCTTTTTATCCTCCATTTTTAGAGGTGCTAATATGCCCAAAGCTTGAAATTCTTTGGATGATAGCTCAAAATTTTATCATCTTGAAATTGAAATTGATTTTCTTCCATTTGAAAATGTCTCACTCGAATTAATTGGATTCAACTACAAATCAAAAACAACTTGTGTATACATAATATATACACACATATAACGTAATATGTGGGTGTGTATAGTCATTAAATAATATTGTTGATATCAATCTTATAACTTGTAAGTGATTGATTATTAGTTTTTTAATGAATTTGACTATTATTTTAGTAAGATTCTGTAGTTACCAGAAAATAATCATTAAGGGGATTTGTGTTTAAGCTCGGCATTTTACTAAATAAAGAGGTTTGGTGAGGATGGTGGGAGCATAAATATGAAGGATCCTCTATTTCCACTCCGCAACTCTTTGAGCCTTTCAAAAGCAAAGAGTTTAAAATAGGGTCCAAGGAGTTGCTTTAAAAGTTCCACTGGGTTTTTGTTCCTTGCTGGTAATTAAAAGAGATATCTAAGTTGTGTTCTTTAGTTTTATTAAATAATCTACTACATTTTGTGGTCTCTAAGGGGTCAATTAAGCAATCATAAGGTTCTTTTTTGTTATAATTGTTTTCTTCTTATTGTATTTGATGCATCCTAGGCTCCTAGACTAGGGCAAATTAGTTTCCCTCATGATGAAAGAGTTTAGATTGAATTGAATTTAAATTTCTACCTTTTTTTCCATTCCTTTTATTCTCCCTCTTTTCCCTTTTTTATTCCTATTCTCCTCTTCATTTATTCCACCCTTTTCTTATCTTATTCAGCATCAATAAGTTTTATATTTTTATTTTTTTTATTCAGCATCAATAAGTGTGATCATGTTAAGAATATTTTAGGATTTGTTTGTAACGGCAACATCTATTTATAAAGTTAGTTGTAAAGTTACTCTGATGAAAGCATCTTTTAGCTATTTTGATTGTATTAAATAGCTTTCATCACAAATGTTTTTGAAAAGCAGTAGCCTAACAAAATTATGGTTATTTTATGAATAGAAAAGCAGTAAGAAAACTATTCCAAACAACTCTTAATTATTGTCTCTCCTCACTTATTGTAAAAACTATTGCATTTTGCAAATCAATCACAAAAATGGGAAACATATTATCTGTAGACATCCAGGAAATCCTATGTGCATATTGAGGCTGGATAAAAAAATTACTTACAGCTAAGTTTTTTAGTTTCAACCTATTTTAAGGGTAATTGCCCCTGGGATTTGGTTTTTAAGTAGAATTTTCCTTTTGGCATGAGGTGATTCATTGATTTTGCCTTGAAATATCATATACTTAAATTTTCTCTCAGAACTTTGTTGTGAGAGGGAGTGTAGCAGAGGTGAAGACCATCGTTTGATTAAGCTTTCAATCATTGATTTCGCTGTGAGTCTTCTTCCACTTATCTGTCCTTTTTCTATCATTCATCTCCTTTTTGGTGTTTTTATTTTTCTTTGATCTAATGCTTGCAGAGTAAGAAAGAGCGAGTGGCTGTGGTGGAATGTCGGGGACATGATGCTGCTAGATTTCAGAGTATCGGGCATGCTCATGGGTATGTCTTGCTAATATTTGTAAGAGAATTAAGATATTTGAACAAGTAATATGTATTAACATTTTTAGCTTTCCTCTAATTAATCATCAATATGGCATGGACTTAGAAACACAAACATAAATAAAAAAAACTCGATAATTCTTAAGAAATACATGACAAAAACACGGATTGGGTGTCAATTTTAATTATAATAGACTTTTAAATTAAATATGTCTACTAATAGAAGTCATTTTTTTCATCATGAAATCATTCTTCTCGATATAGTTTGTATAGAATGTGCCCAACGAATGTTCAATGTGCCAAAAATTGTCACAAAATGTCCGAGAGTTGTTCAAGACTTTTTGGAGTTTTTTTCTTGAAAATTTAAAAAAATATAACATGCCAAATAGCATGCTCGAGAGTGCATTTGAAAGTGTTTCAAACATTATTTGGCACAACATGATCTCCTCTAGAGTTATTTGTTCTTCATGAGTTAATTATACTAATGTTAGTTCTCTTCCTTTATAGACGTTACTGTTGCAATCCAATTATTTTTGTACCTTTGGATATGATACTGTACTATTGCAAGCATATATTGCAAGAAGTAGCAAAGGTTTCAGATAATATGTGATTGCTCTCCTGAAATCTTACCTGAAATCTAACTTCTTATACATATAGATTTATTTTCACCACATCATATATATTTCATTAAAAGCATCGTTTTATGAATCTATTACACTACATTATAAAAGTTGAATTTCAGGCTGACTCACATGGATTCCTTGTATGTTAAAACCTATACAATTTTTTTTATAAAGAAGTTTAAGCATATATGTGGGCCTGTGGCTTATTCAGAAGTTCCATATATTTTCCAACACCCCTTATCATTGAAATTATTTAGAAATAGGCAAAACATATTTCAAACAACGAGTGCAAAAAAAAAAAAAAGAATTGAAAATAAAAAAGATCAAAGCACAAAAAAATACAGAAGAAATTTATTTTGGTTCACTAAATTGATGGCTACATTCTGTTGCCACTACTATAAGTTTACTATGTTGGATTGCCATTAAATTATATAATTTGAACTCTTAAGTTGGCACACATGAATTTCTTTTATGTTAAAACTTGAACAACTTTTTAATGTAGAAGCTTAAGCATATAGGCAAGTGGCATATTCATATAACCTTCATGTATATATTACATGACCTCTTAGACTATAAGTTATTGAGAACTAGGCAAAATCAATTTTAAATGGCAAGAGCAAAAAAAGAGCAAAATACTAGAAATGAAGATCAACAGAAAAATAACACGCAAGAATTCATGTTGGTTCACCGAATTGTTGGTTACATTTTATTGTTGCCACTGCAATTTTACTATGTTAGATTGTAGAGAAATCTCAACTTCTTCAATACAATATAACCCTCCAATTAATGGCTACGTTTTATTATTGCCATTGCAATATGCAACATAACCCCCCTTATTTCAAGAAAAAAATTACGGTAACCATACATATATTAAAATTCTTAAAATATGCTTAATGGAATATGTCAAACCCTATGCACAAAAACAGTTGAAACAAAGGCAAAACTGTCGAATTAAGTGACGAGTGCATCGGTGCAGCGCATCACTTGAATGGTCAAATGGCCTCTGATCACCAAATGGATTGCGCCGTTACGATCGAAGAATTTAATTCGCCTAAATAGGAATCCCTCGCAATCAAATCGGACGAGATCGATCAAAAGGGACGACTGACACGCGAAATTGACGCACGATGTTGCCCAAACGACATTCAATTGCAAAACGGACTTCACCATTGCAGAACGCCGTCAATACTAAAAAATCACTGTCAATTCGTTCAATTTGTGTGAGTAAACCGACACTCATATCGAGGCAACGATGCACAATTTAGAAAATCAACGCGCTACGTCATCGAAATGACCTCCAATCATGAAATGAACTGTGCCGTTGCAATCAGAACTTCGACAATATTGAACATTAAATGTAAGTTCGCACAACAAAAATTGTGCACTCAAGTCAGTGGCAATTTCGAGGAGATTGTGCGCAAATTAAGGAAATTATGCATGGAGCGAGGCATTTTTAGGCAATCGACTCATTTTAATCATTTTAAATTAGTAATAATAATAATGATATCAAATCATCATTAATTTATTATTAATTTAAATAAAAAATCAATGAAAATCAAATTAATGCAAAATCTGAATTAGTTAACTCGTATCAATCGATATACTACTATGATCCTCGAATTTTTGCCGATTTCGCGTCTACTCCCGTAAATCTCGTCTTTGCAATCGATCCGCTCACTATTAAAACGAGAACAAAGCTCACTCGTTGGTTTGCACTCTTCACGCTCACAAAATCCTCTTTATTCAAAGCCTCCACCTGATCCTTCTTCTTTCGATCTCAAAATCCGAACAGCTCGTAGCTCGTCAAACCCAGCTGAAGCCTTCTTTCGATTCCTAGCCTCCAATTTCCCCAATCAAATGCTCAAATCAACCTTCCGAACTCCTCAGTGCCAGCCGTCCCTCTTCTCTTCTATCCATACCAACAACAGCTCAAGCCGATGTTGAATTTCATATTCGCAAGCCTTGACCAGTTTGTCTATCGAAGCCAAACTAGAGCCAACCTCTGCTTTTGTCACTATGTCGATCTCCTAGCCGGTGCCAGCTCTGACTCAAATTTCTCCTAAATGGGGGAGACGCCGGGAGATTTACCAAAATTTCTGGTGAACATAGGACTTGCAAAATTAATTTGAATACAAAAGAACACAGGGGGCTTGACCGATGATAGAGAACAAGAGTTTTAAATTGAACTATAAGGAGATGGACTTAATACTCAACATAAAAATGCAAATTGTAAAATAATAAAACTAAAATGCAAGTGCACAAGCGGGAACTTGAAATTAACATTAATGAACTAGCCAAAACTCTTGTGAGCACAGCTTACTTGAGAACAAAGGTTGACAAAATGCAAGGAGCAGATAACTCTTGAGCATCGCAAAGAATGACAATTTTAAATGAATACACTAATCAACTAAAGAATCATCAAGTTCAAAAATGACGTGTAATCCTCCTATAGTTAATGTCATTCGACATGCAAGCAAGCCTATTAATCCCTTTGCAGGCGAAGAAGGTAAATGCACAATGAACATAATAATCGGATGCATTTAAAGAAGTTCAAAGTATATGAAGATTGCATATAGTCGATGCCATTCAGCTCCAAACAAGCATGTTTACCTTCCTTGCAAATAATGATACTCTCCTGTTCTAAAGCCAACACTGATCAACATACAAATGACTATGTCAGTCTCCTATGAATATAAGATCGAAGTGTGATGAATGCATGCGACGCGTCGTCTACAATCCAAGTAAATGAATTGTAATGAATACGGATATTTACAAGTAATGGCAAAAGGTTGAGGACACACAATAATATCATCCACAAGCAATGCTAGAAGAGATTACATGAAGCACAATTCGCCACCAGTCAACGTATAATGTTCAAACAAGCCTTGTAAGAAAACAAACATGTTGCAGAAGTAACAGATCATAAGCAAACATAGATACACCCACAATAGGTTATTTGCGACTAGATGCATAAGCTCGCTATAGGTGAAGGAAATTGATATGCGGCGAATGCAAATACCTATAAGCGATGAACAAAAGAATTATTACATGCACAGTAACCCACCTACGGGTGACGACGAATGATGTACAGTAAACGCTGAATCATCCCTGCAATTAATGATGAGTGCTCATCAGGCAAACACACTAACACTTGTAAGCAGAGACGTGAGACCTCTAGAAAATGTAAAGCGCATATAAGTTGTTGTAGCAGATACATTGTAGCATCCTTGCACTCAACGTTAATCAAGCACCTAGCAAATGCATACGAACTCCTGCGAGCCGCTGTAGAGGACTCCTCATTTATAAAGTAATCCACCTACAAGTGATGGAAAGCGACATGCAACCATATGCACTATATATCATCCACGAGTAAAATGCAAGAAGGCTACAACAAATGCCAGCTCCTATGAATTGCTGCAGGGGACTCGTTATTATACGACAGTCTACTTGCATAAAGTAGCAAACGACTCATGACATGACGCCACACCACCGGATCCATAACATTCATACAGCGGACAAATGGTGTTTACGTGCTTCTACATAGAGCATTATACACGCCCAAATGTTAATCATCGCACAGCTGATTAGTGTCAAATATTTCAAAATGCTCTCACACATTCACTGCAACATATATACATACAAATATGGAAGTACACATGCAAGCATATTAACATGTATACATGTAGGTATATACACCCACATGAGCTATGATGAGTTTGTTACGAGTACACACGTGACGTCTGAAGATGCTACATGGGTCAAATAATAAATTTAAATTCGGGCCCGATTCTCCTATATGAGTAGATAGGAGTTAACATGGCTCGAATTATCAAACAAATATACAGCCATGGCATCGACCAAGATATTTATTTTATGCATTCATATTAGGCCTTTAAGATTTATAACAATGAAAATTCACTGACAAAGGCATAAAGCCAACAACGAACCTAATCCGACAAGATTCAATCAAAAAAATGAAAACCTTCCATAAATATCCCGATGATGGCCGTGTTGAATATTTATCTCTATCGGAGGGGACCACAAACATTTAAAATACTCTTCAAAGCCCATAAAAATTCAAAGTTTTAAAAAAAGAATATCAAATCCGAAATATTCAAAATTGAAATAAATCATTAAACACTTAAAACGAAACTCATTCACCTTCCGCAACAATTTGTTGGGGTGGACAAATTTGAAAATTATTTTGGCTCACAAAGAGCCAATGTCCGGCCAATAATATCATTAGGATTCATTCTCAATTCGCCTTTTGTCAGTAAGGATGTGACATTGGTCCTCTAATCGGCGGTTTGGCCGGATGGCTCCGCAAAGAACCTGTGGCCTGGTCAGATTGGTTTTGCGTGGTTAACAATTATTACTGCAGCCCTGTGGCCTAGTGGTTTGGTCTAACGACTCCACTGTATTACAGTTATGGTCATAGCGTGCATGCTCCCTAATGGCGTCAAGTCCTTGAGACATAGATCAATAATATATAATCAATAGGGCGCAAAGCCCTCTATTAGTTAAGGTGTATTCAAATTCGTCTCCTTGGACAAGTATTCACTCCAGATTTGCAAGGTTCTCTTAGACAACACAACCCATTGCTGCCGACAAGAATTTTTCTGTCAGGTTGGGTTGATTACCTCCTCTAATTAAGTAGACCAAGGACCATGATGACTCGGTACAACAGAACCATGAGATCTTGATCGGGTCTATCATCACTTTTCCCACCATTCGCTTTATGTGCAAGATGGTGAAATTTCTAATTTTAAATATTAAATTTTCAAATACCAACCCATGCTGCTACTATACATCATATACCACGTATCTCTACGTATCTGATTGACTACTAGTCTTAATCGGAAGTTCTCTCTTGTTATCGGGAGGGATAACTATAGGGGCTTGCGCTATAGGAAAATTGAACCCATATCTAAAGTCCTCACAAAATGAGGGCGAAATCTCTGGGTAGTGTCTTATTTTAAACCCAATCTGCCTTCTAAAAATTTTCTTCAGAACTTAACTCGTTAAAACTCTCCTGACAACCTGAAACGAAAAGAAAGAAAGAGGTCCGTAGAGAGGCTGGAGCATGAATTTTCTGAGCCCATAGAATAACCAGTAAATACTTGATAATTCTAGCAAGAGTACACGGGCAACATAACCGAAGTCCATGTTGCTTAAAACATGTTGATGAAACATATGTTGAAGCTTCATTTAGTGGTATACTATTGCCATATAGTTTAGTAGCATCTTTTTGTGACTAGAACTTGAGAGACCTCTAATATCATGTAAATAGCTTTGTGTATCAACTTGATAAAAGCCATAACGACACATTTGCATCATAATAACTTATTATTAATAAAGGGCTTTTATAGCCTAAAGTTTAGAATTCACTTCAAGGGATTGAACATCTGCTCAAACAAATCCAAACCTAAAAATGATAATTTCTATTTGTTACAGTTGGGAAGAAGATGTTATTGGTATGATTGAGCAGAAGCACGGAAAACAAAGAATTTCGATATCTTTTGAGTGTGAGACACTGAAGGCAGACAATGCAGCACAAGAGCACCTACAGAAGTACATGCCCAATTTAGCTGGAGTAGATGCTGTAGGTAAGCACAAGATGCTTTCTTCTTCTAAAATGAAATAAAATTGGATATTAAAGCTTTATTATTATTATTATTATTATTTTCTCTTGCTTACAATATCAAATGAATTTGCAGTTAATATTGGCCGCATGAGCATTTCTGGTATCAATTTCGATGGGGAGGAAGAAATTACTGCATGACTGTATTGTTGCAATCTGTAAGTAAATGAATTAGACATTTTGTAGCTTCATTCAGAAATATTTTATACTATGATAATTTTTTTTTTTGGGAAAAAATTTGTCCGTCAAATCACATTTGATCTAGGTAAATATTTATTTTAAAAACTTATGAAGAATTTTAAAGGTTTTTGTCAATTAGGCAGCCATAATTTTTAATCTTGATAACTTTCTTTGCACACTACTGTAGTTGCTTGCAGGTGTGGCATCGACCTTCGGTTAGTTCGTTAGGATTTATGCCTTATCATGTAATTTTCTAACAATTATATTTTTAGTTTTTTAGTATAAGATTAAGGTTTCGTTTCCAACAGCTTTTGTACTGCTTTTTAAAACAATTTTTTTAGTACAAAAATTTTAAATTCAAGAAATTTTTGTACTAAAAAACTGTTTTAAAAAGCAAGAAGAAAGCCATCCCAAATAAAGCCGTAAGGCTTCATTTGTGATAGCTTTGTTACTACATTCTAAAATGATTTTCTAGTGCAAAAATCTCTAATTCAAGAAATTTTAGTACAAAAAAATTACTTTAGAAAACAGCAAAAAAGCTGACCCAAACAAAGCGTAAGGCTTCGTTTGGGGTGGTTTTTTTCCGGCTCCTTAAAGCGGCTTTCTAGTACAAAAATTAGAATTTTTGTTATAGAAAGCTGCTTTAAGAAGTGGGAAGAAAGCTGCTTTAAGAAGTGGGAAGAAAGCCGTCCCTAATCAAGTCTAAGGTTTTGTTTGGGATGAATTTTTTACTGCTTCTTAAAGCAGCTTTTCAGTACAAAAAATAAAATTTTTGTACTAGATAACTGCTTTAAGAAGCAATAAAAAAGCAGCCCCAAAAGAAGCTTAAATTAAAATAAATTTTTAATTAGGATGAGTTTTTTTTTTTTTTGGGACATTTAGGCCATTTAAGGCAAACTCACACACACAACGCATACACATGGACTCGAACCTTGGACCTCTTAGTTGGAAGCCTAAGCTCTCAACCAATAGGCCAAGGGGAGTTGTGTACCAACACACTCTCAATATGATATTTTATATCCCGTAGTTCATTTTTATAAATTTAGTGTATATTCCCTGGTGTACTAACTCCACAATATATTATTATGTAATCTAGTTTATAGTACTCTCATTTTATCTTACATGATCTCATTTGATAAAAAATCTAAAATTTAATAAATTTATTTATATTGGATTGGGCGAGTAGATGGTACGAGCCTCTATTATCCTCATTAAGAATAGACGAGTTGAGCAAACTTCTAATCAACTCTGACTTGAGCTTATGATTATTAATTAATCGAATTTGAGCTTGATTTTGGGTTTAATTATATAAATTTGAATTGGCTCAAGAAACTTGCTCATTTATTAATTATTGATATGTCATCGAAAAATTATCTTGATCGGGCACGAATCTCAGGGCAAAATCAAGTTGGAAACTTCCGAAATTAAAATTGGAACCATCTGAACTCCGATTTCAGTAAACTTACAGTCGAACTGAACATCTCGGAAATATAAACCCAACGACACCAAATTCGACTCAATCTGACCCAAATGGGTCCAAATTAATATAAATTTGAATTGGTTCAAAATTTGAACCCAAACGGCTGACGACATTGCTCCGCCGGACCACCACTTGAGGCCTTGAGCTCCGCCGGACCACCACTTAAGGCCCTCACCTCCGCCGAACCACTGCCTGATTTCGTTGCTCCACCATACCATCACATGAGGCCCTGAGCTTCGTCGGACCACCACTTGAAGCCCGAACATCTGCCGGACCACCGCATGAGGCCCAGACTTTTGTCGAACCACCACTTGAGGCTATGTGCTCCACCAGGCCACCATCAGAGGCCCGAACTTCTGCTGGACCACTACCTAAGGTCCAGACTTCTGCCGGACCAACAATTGAGACCCGAAATTTTACTGGACCACCACTTAATTGATGCCCGAAATTCTGCCGGACCACCACATGAGGCCCTAAGCCCCGTCAAACCACCACTTGAGGCCCTGAGTTCTGTCATACTACCACCTGATGCCCGGACTTCTGTCAGACCACCACCTGACACTCGAACCTCTGCCAGACCATCACTTGATGCCCTTAGCTCCACCAAGACACCACCTGATGCTCGGACTTTTATCGGACCACCACCTGAGGCCCAGACTTCTACCGGACTATCACCTGAGATTCGGACATCTCTTGGGCCACCACTTGACGCCCAAAGTTCTCCCGGAGTACTACCCTTCTACTACGGTCTTTCGGACCCTTGTCTGTTGTTGACTATGTTTCTTCCGACCTCCATCACCAGACAACGGTCTTTTTAACCCCGGTCTCCTGCCAAATACAGTCTTTTGGACCCCTTTATTTTTTAGTAAAAAAATACTTAAAAATACAAAATTAATATTGATCTAAAGCTGTCCAGAAAAAACCTTAATATGAACCCACGGCCACAAAGTATTGTGGTTACGTAGGGTCTGTTGTCTTTATTTTTCTCTCCTTAAGAATTTTTTTTCTTGAAATTTCAATTAATTTTAACATGAACAATTATTTATCATCCTAAACTCTTTAATTTCTCAATTTTAAGAATAGATTAGGAGTTTATGATATATTTTCATATTAGCATCAGCTTATTACTAAATTGTGAAGACTCTTTAATATAAAAATTAAAGAACATCTTATATAAATATAACATAAGACATTAAACATTTTTTTCTCTCTGCTGTCAATAATTTTTAAAATATTATGTCATTTCTCCTCAATTTATTATCTTATTTTCATAATTTTGCTTTTGAATTATTTATATATTTTCTTCATCATATTCCTATCGTCGCTGATTTTCTATTTATTAAATCTCCAAAACTGTTATAATTTAATTATTTTTAGATATTATTATTCATATTATGGACATGATGCAGATTAAAAATCATGAGCTGTGATCAATTTAAATTATCTGTCATTTTAACAATTATATTACAAATTCAAAAATAAAGAGCTGTGATCATGATCGGATTAATTTTATTTCATTTGTGATTGTGCCATTTTTTCTGCTCCGTTTTTTCTTTTGAAATTTTCATTCATTTAAATATCTCATTTATTTGTTTAATAACTTTATCTTTATAAAATCCAAAACAATTCTAATTGTACACTAAAATATGCTATTATTATTATTATTATTATTTATGGACAATAAGCAAAGTTAAAAATTAGGAGTTGTGCGACGGTGATCCAGGCAAAACTATTATGTGCGGTGTCCGGATGCGTCCGAAGGTCAATCCGGAAGTGCCACGTCACCTAATACACAGTTCATTAGATGATGTGATGCGTCCGAATTGACCTCCTGGCGTATTCAAACACCACACAAAATAATCTCTTGTGATCCAGAGACTAAAGACCAAAGTTTACAACCAAAAGATCATGGTGACAAATTTAAAAATTATGAGTTGTGAGCCGGTGATCATGACCAGGCTAACTTATTCCATTTGCACTTCTTGCTTCCCTCCGGCTTTCCAAAGACCAGAGACCTACATGTTAAACTCATCTTCTTCTTCATTTTTATTTTTCAACATTTTTATTTATTCTTATATTAATATTTATAATCATTAATTATTTCAATTATATTTATAGATATCATTTATTATTATTAATTAAATATTATTATTATTATTATTATTATTATTATTATTTTGTGATGACATGTGTGCAATCTACATTCCACTCTCATAAGTTCACCACCAAACAAGCGAAGCTTGAGCATCATTATTAGATTGGCTTGTTTAAAATATATTAGCATTTATGATCTTAAATATAAAATTATTAAAAATATTTTAAAAAATATATTTCACTTTCTTATATCAAATAATTATTTATTATTTCATTTCTAATTTTTCATTCATTTTACAATTTTATTATAATAAATACTTAAAATCGATGAGAATCATGTTCTCTGTTTCATGATAAATGAGCCACTTACAATTAAGCTAGAGTTCGAGCTCGAGCTTGAGTTTGAGATCGCATGAGCTCAGCTTGGTGCTTCTACATCCATGGTTGGATCTCAAATATCTATTTAAGGATCATAAAACATATGAAACTCCCCAAATCCATATTTTCCTCTAAGATGGCCAACATTTTACAATTAGTTGTTCTCTTTCTAATAATGCTGGCTTCAGCCAAAGCACTAAGACCTGCATCTTCTTCCTCCATCATTGGCCTTAAAAAAGGAAAATATTGGAATGCAATAAGAGCAAGGAATGGTGCCTCCCTTCCTCCTGATTTTGAGTTGAGAACTTACTCTCAAACTTTGGATCATTTCAACTATGGACCTGAGAGCTATACAACTTTTGAGCAGAGATATGCCATCAATTTCAAGTACTGGGGAGGAGCAAGCACAAGCTCACCCATATTTCTCTACACCGGCGACGAGAGCAGCCTCGATGGGGATCTGTTTGCCGGGTTCCTTGTCGATCATGCTCGACGATTCAAAGCTCTCTTGATTTTTGTAGAGGTGAGGACTGTAAAGTGAGCTTCAAGAGAAGACCAACAAATTATATTTGTCAATTAGAATTTCAGCTCTTAATGTGACTGTTATTTACCCGCAAAGCAGCATAGGTATTATGGAAAATCCAATCCATTTGGTTCAAGGGAGGCGGCATTTAACAATTCCAGTACACTTCAGTATTTCAGCTCAGCACAAGCACTTGCTGACTATGCAGAATTGCTTAGATATCTGAAGAAGAAGTTGTCTGCAGAAAATTCTCCAGTGATAGCCATGGGAGGATCCTATGGTGGAAGTAAGTTAATTAATATCTTAATTAATTTAGTTACTCTCGATCTTAATTTACAAATAGCTAATTAGTGTATTGTTCTTACAGTGCTTGCAGCTTGGTTCAGATTGAAATACCCACATATGGTTATTGGAGCTTTGGCTTCTTCTGCTCCCATACTCTATTTTGATAACATCACACCACAAAATGGTTATTGTAGTGTTGTCACAAAGGATTTTAAGGTGAGCTATTCTTCATTTTTTTTTAATAAACCAATCTTTAAAACTTATACAAGGGCCTATGCGTTCTAAAAAAGAAAAAAGAATATGTCCTTAGAAGATCAAAAGCTCACTAAAAATACAGTCTTGAATAGAAACCTATGAGCTAATGATCCAACTATGTACAATCAAACATAATAAGCAGCAACTGATAACAAGATAAAAACATCCACGAGAACCTCACAAAAAGAAAACCACAAGTCCACAAGTATTAAGAATTGATTAATTTAATTTTCTAAGAATTTGAGCTGTGATTTATTTACAAACTCAGGAAACCAGTGAGAGTTGTTATCAAACTATCAAAAGTTCTTGGGCTGAGATTGATAATATTGCAGCCAAGCAAAATGGCCTCGCTAAATTGAGCCAAATGTTCAACTCCTGCAGGTAACTAACTCATAGTAAAAAAAAAAAAAATTTTCGAAGTATTATATGTAGATTTCTTATCTGCAGTGAAATTTTTTTCTCTGAATTTTTCCAAATGAAGCCGTTTGAACAAAACTGATGAACTAAAAGAAGCTTTGGAGGGACTGTACTTCGGATGTGCACAGTATGACAATCCGAAGTCGATTCCAGTTAGTAGAATATGTCATGCAATTGATGGAGAGCCAAATGGAACAAGCGTGCTCAAAAGAATTATTTCTGGGATTAACGCAATTGTTGGAAATTCTACATGCAATGATTTTAGTGAGACTGAGGAGGAGGATGCGCACTCTGGATGGGATTGGCAGGTAAGCATTTTGCATGAAAGTCTTACTATGTATATCATAAACTCGTTAGAAGTTTGAAACTTACGTATGTGATGTGTGTACGAATTTGTCTTAGGCTTTGTTTGGAACAGCTTTATTATTGTTTTCTAAAATAGCTTTCTAGTACAAAAATTTTTAATTCAAGAAATTTTTGTATTAGAAAGATGTTTTAGAAAGCAGAAAAAAGCTATCCCAACAAAGCCTTAATTAATTGACCTAAATACAATGTTAAATCTTATTTTCAGGAGTGCACTGAGATGGTGATGCCTATAGGTTGCAGTGCCAAAAATTCAATGTTTGAGGCTTCACCTTTTGATATCAAGAATTTTAGCTTAAGCTGTAAAAAGATATTTAACGTGAATCCACGACCTCATTGGATAACCACAGAATATGGCGGCCATGTAGGTTCTATATATTTATATTTATTTGAATTAGATGAAGAATTTGAGTGCTAATCTTTTATAATTAATGCTATAAACAGAATATTAAGAAGGTGCTCAAAAGATTTGGAAGCAACATAATATTCTCCAATGGTCTCAGAGATCCTTATAGCAGTGGAGGGTATCTTAAATATCTAATTTTATTCATTTTTTATTTTCATCAAAATATTAATTTTCTTTTCTTTAATATAAATATTATTAATTGCAGAGTCCTGCAAAATATATCCGATAGCATTGTGGCGTTGACTACACCGAAAGGTCTATCATTTCTATATTGTTTTTTAATTTATATTAACAATTTGAATTTATTTCTTTATTATTATTATTTTATTTTATTTAGGGTCTCATTGCTTGGATATATTGGAAGCAAATGAAGCAGATCCTGACTGGTTAATCTCACAGAGAAACGCTGAGGTTCAAATTATGGAGAATTGGATAGAAGAATATAAAAGGAAATAAATGAAGCTTCATAGACGAAAATAAAGCAAAATTATCAATAACATGCAGCTCATCTTGATCTATTGGTTATGAGCTATGATTATCAATTAAGAATTATTGGATTTGAAGCTTACATATTTAATGTATATGTGAGTAATTTATCTTATTTGACATAAATGTTCCTAAAAAAAGTATCAACAATCATTGGAATGATTTGTCTTAATAATAAATCATTTAAATTTTCATCTGATAATTATTTGGCTTCATATGATATAATTATTCTGATATAATATCTTTATTATTATGCTTAAATTATCAAAATTATAACAATTAACTCTCTCCTAAAATTATAAAATAATATTCTATAAATCAGTACTGCTCATTTTTAAAATCTATAGTGAAGGATAAGTAGATCAATGCGTAGATTGTGAATATAAGTAGAAAATTATGAAGATAAAATATTTTAAATAATTTTGCTAATATATTCGTGGTAGGATATCAAGTTAAAAGATCAGTGTTGTTGCAAGCTAATATATTCGTGATGTTAGCGTGAGAGACGTTTTCTGTCTTAGCGATACATAGATATCCAGAGCACAAATAAATAAATGGAGAGAGAGTGGAGAAACATGATAAAATTTTTTGCGGAAAACCCGAAAAGGAAAAAATCACGGGGTATTGCCCACTGACTCCCTCACATGGTTGCTTGGTCAGAAAAAAAGTTAAAAAATGAGAAGAAAAGAGAAGAGAGAGAAAGGTCTTTGGATCATATTTATCAATCATTCATGTTACATATTTTGTTTTATTATTCATTGTAAGTAATTAATCTCTTACTTCTATTTTTGACGATTTGATTTCTACAAATTTTATCTCTCATAAATTTGCAAACATTATAAGAAGTCGGGCGACTGATTCACGTGATTCAAGAAGAGTTATAAGGATTACATTGATTGAGAGTTGTAAGGGACGACTAATTCAGAGTCATAAGTACATGATATCTAAATGCTAATACTGACATTTATTGAATATCTAAATGCTAATACTGACACTACTACAAATACTATATTAATATTATGACTATAACACTAATACTGTTTAGTATCATTAATACTGTTTAACGTTATTAATCATGATATTAATATTGTTACCGACATTCGTACTATTAATTGTTACTGATATTGATAATGTAATGGATTAAGATGTCATGATAAAAGGATAAATTGACAAAGATAATCAATATAGATATTGATGCATATATTTCTTTATAGGAAAATTTACATACATACCACTTAATACTATTCTATTTACATATTTAACACCTAAAACTTTAATATTACATAGATACCACACGTAGTTCATTTTCATACCAAATATAAGTGGTAGAAATGAAATATATGAGTGGTAGGAAAGAAATTAATATAAGTGGTATATTTGATATTAAAATAATATAGAGTGGTATGCATGTAATATTAAAGTTTTAAATGTTAGATATGTAAATAGGATGTTATAAAGTGGTATGTATGTAAATTTCCCTTCTTTATATTATTTATAACATATTATTCTTTTTTTATCTTGCATTGATTTCAGTTGTAAGATTTTAATTACTTGCTGAGCTATGTGCTCATTATCTAATTTTATATGTTTTCAAGAAAGGTTAAAGATCACATGTATAAGACTTTGGACAATATGCATAAATTTTCTATATGCAATTCTAGACAAAATGCAATCATATTTCTTTTCCGTTATTTATAAGAAATTGATAAGCTCTAATTAAATGCTAAAATAAAAAATAAGTGCAATTCTTCCAATATAGATTTTGGAGTGTAACATCTCCAATGTAGTGCTCAGGTAGAACTCTAGGATCATTGAAGCCTTGAAACTCTTCCCAATCTCCAGCTAAAGGTCCCCTTCATATGAAGAGTGAGATTCTATTTATAGATTTTGAAAGTGACATGCTCTGTAAATATTGGAAGATCTAGGACAAATTCAGAGTGCTCCATTGGATGACCCATACTGATTCCTTTGATTATAGAGAATTTTTCTAGCATTTAAGTTCTTTAATGATGTTTGAATTGAGAGATCTTGAGCTCATTAAATTTTCCTCATCGAAGCATGCACCAGATTTAACTATATGCATGCTATATTTAAATATCATTTCATCATCTAATTAATGCTTTAAACTTCAAGTATACTTCGGTCCCTTGATTTGGACTCGTTTGGGCTCGGATTGAACCAATTTTGATGTCATTGAACTCATCTCCCTGAGATGTTCAATTTAACTATAAGTTTGTTGAAATCAAAGTTTGGATAGTCACAAATTTAATTTAAAAAGTTGTCAACTAAGATGTATCTCAAGATTTGTGCCCAACCAAGGTGATTTTTTATGACGAATCAAGTGTAGAAACTCAAAATGCAGGTGTCATAGGCAATACTTTTGGAGTTCCATAAGCAAATTTGGATAAAACTAATTGCAATCACCCCACTTTCAAGTCATACTTCAGATAGGCAGAGAAGGAATAAATAAGCTAGTGCAATAACTATTTGTTCATGTGGAATTGCCTTTAGCCCTCAAAAGTATTGGTAAGGGTTCAAATTCCTTAAAAATGGACAAAATATGCTAGCCAACGCAACTAAACTGAAACAATTATACCATATCGCTAGATAAGAAAATAAATGATGTTCCATGAATTTTTTAAATTATCAAGAAGTCCTAAATATTTTCATCAAATTTATACTTTTAATGGTATAAATAACTTATACAATGCACATAATACTAGAATATGGATACAACTATAAAATAAATGAGCATTTTTATTGAGCTCTTAACTAGCTAGTTAAACAACAAATGAAAAAAAAAAATTCATAAACATAAATAAATGAGTAAATTAATATTCAAATTTATTTAATCATTTAATTAAATAAGTAAAATAAAATTTTATATTAAAAAAATATCAAGTTGATCATCAAAAAATACTAATCACTTGCATATGAACACATCTATATCCCCTTGACTTTCTTCAAACTGCTGTAATAATCTGAAGCCATTGGCTGTTGATAAGAGTTGTAATCATCACAGCCCAACCAAATTATAAATTTGATCCTAAAAATAAGAGTAATTATTAATATTTTGTTACACTCTTTATAAATAAGCAACTATAAATCAAAAGTTTAATCGTGATCTTGTTCACAGTAATTATCATGAATCACGATATAGAGATAATTTGGAAGAGGATTAAGGCTTCGTTTGGGACCGCTTTTTTACTGTTTTCTAAAACGGAGTTTTAGTACAAATTTTTTTATTTTTGTACTAAAACTCTATTTTAGAAAGCAATAAAAAAGCCGTCCCAAACGAAGCCTAAGGCTTCATTTGAGATAGCTTTCTTACAGTTTTCTAAATCAATTTTTAATACAAAGATTTTGAATTTAAAAATTTTAGTACTAAAAAATAATTTTAAAAAGCATTAATAAAGCCGTCCCAAAGGAAGGAGGTTATTCTGTGCGGATGCCGAACACAGTTCACTGTTCGGAGACCAATCAGAATGTGCCACGTCAGTGGTACAGAGCTTATTACCGAGCGATTCCGAGCAGTACCGAGCTGTGTACCAAACAGGGGGTGATATGACACATTCTGATTGGTCTCTGGATGACGTTCGGCCTCCACACAGAATAATTCACCGTCAAAAGCCACTGACACGCGTGACGAAAATCTATCCAACTTTTTCCATTGAAACTTATCATTCTTCATACACAAACAACATATCATGCTCTGAAGATGCTGAATTTACATGGGAATTATCAGCAGGTGCTTATTTAGTACTTAACATTTCATTCACCATGTTTAGCACCTAATCTTTCTTGTAACTGAACGCACTAATCTGAAACCACTGGCTGTCATTCTCAATATCATTACCATCACTGCTGAAACTTCTACAAGGGTTGGTGACTATGGCTTTGTCTTCACCAACATCCAAGCAAAGGGAAGTTCCATCCTTCATTTCTGTCATCAGATGAGTTTTCTGCGATCCTGATACTGGAGTCCATTGGGAATCCGAGACTTCACAGGCAATACTGAGCTTGGCAGGTAGAGCAGGCCCAGCTGCTTTCAGGCAGTAATAAGTTCCAGCCACAGTTAAGAACTTCTGTGGAGTGTATTTCCAGGAATCAGTTTGTTCGCAGGGGGCAAGCTTCAGGGAATCCTCATAGAGCTGCCTAAAGATGCAGGAGTTAGATGATGGGTGGAAAATTTTGATCTGTGGACGGACAATGGCACTGCTTACTTCATTTCCTGCATCATGATTCAAATGATGTAGAATAATAGTAAATTCCCCTTTACTGGTTTGATGTAGAAAGTACTAATAAGCTATTCTACAGACAAGTAGATTTGATAAAGCTGTAATGAAACAATGTCATATGGATTCAGTTAATAAGCTACGAAGAAGTTATTGATAACTATGTTAAGCGCAATAAAATTTACATGTTAATAAGGATTCATCCAGGTTGGGTGAGAAAAAGTTCTATTAACAAAAACAACGAGCTTTTATCCCACTACATGGGGTCAGCTACATGAATTATTTTTCTTTATTGTGTTATGTTAAGAGTCAAATTCTCATTTAAATCTAAAAAAGAAATGTCATTTCTAATATTTTCTAACAAAGTCTTTGTAGGTCTACCTCTACCTTTCTTAACATAAGCCAAATCTAATACATTTACTTTAAAAAAGGTTCTATTAAGAAAATATTAAGTATCTATTATGAGATGAGATGAAAGATACAAAAATAAGATGGATTATGCATGAGGAATTTTCAACTCCATCCTTCAAAAGCTTCCCAATGAGAAAAGTGGTAGGTAATGATGATATGATATAGTCCTTTAAGAGAAATACTTGCTTAATTTAAATGAACACTTAATTATTAGTCTACAAGAATAAATACAACAACAACATCAACATCAAGCAGTTATCCCACTATGTGGGATCGGCTACATGAATCCTTTTTCTCCATCGTGTCCTGTTATGAGTCAAATGATCATTTAAATCTAACAATGAAATGTCATTTCTAATAGTTTCTAACAAAGTTTTTTTAGGTCTATCTCTTCCTTTCTTAACATAAGCCAAATCTAATACATTTACTCTCCTAATTGAGTCATCAGAAGGCCATC